CATTAGCACCTCTAGTAATATATTTACTGAGAAAAATGGTGACGTGTTCAATACTTATTTTACCCGCTGTATTAAAACAGTTTGCCCCTTGTGAGACTTTTAACTATACATAAGTGAGAGAAGYTCATTAATTGGCTGACTAATTTAAACCAGCCAATATTAGCCAATAATTAGCCACACCTGACTTTAAAGAAGGGCCATTTCTCTTCTAAGAACATAATTAAGACGCTGGTTCTTTCTTTGTCTTTCTTTACTGCGAGCGTCTGATTGAACGAGTATTTTAATTCTTACTGAAAGTAATCTTACATCTGACAGGTCCATTATCACACTGTACCTCCTCTAGGTGTGATGGAGACAGCCGTATCATCACCTGCAGTGGGTCATTACCTTGAAGGACTGCTCTTGTGTCATGCTTGAGCGAAAAGTAGACACAGTTTCATTGCAGCGTTGCAGCTTTTCATTAGTCTGTAATTGCTACGATTAGAAGCAAAGGCGCAATGAAAGTAAATGCACGCGGCGTCGCTCGAGTTGATCTTTTCAGTGTTTCAGACTGAAAAAAAAAAGCGTTCAGTTATCGTTGAAGCGCTCGTCCTGCTCCCAAACCGGAGTATCCCCCTGAGACGCAGTCAGAGATCTGATTGCTGAAATGGGGAAGATGCAAGAGCTTCACGCCAGTTTCCTCCTCTTCTTGGCCATATAGATGCGAACAATATTTGGTGCACTTATATGGCTATTTTTATGGACTGTCCTACTTTTCCCCCACTTTTCCGTGTCTTTGAAAAATAGCTCCACGTCTGATAAGAGGCGCGTCGTTACACCACCGCGACCGCAAGACCAATTTAAAGTGGCGAGATTTGGAGATGAAGTGGAGCTTCATTGGGGTTAACTATATCGCTGACCTTTGTGTGAACTCTTGGTTTGTTGATGTTCTCCATATTGCAGTGTTTCCTCAAGGGGAGAATCTCTAAGCAGCTTTTCCTCCACTTCAAAGGGAGCGAATGTAGGCCTGCTTTGCATAATCAGGTGGAGAGCAGCTTTTTTTTTGCCAGGGAGGCAGGAATTAATTTGTGGCACCGCCAGATGTAATCATTAAAACCTTAGTCATTGACAATAAGTGGAGAAGAGGAGGGGAAATTAGCAGAGGAACTGTAGAACAGTGGAGTAAATGAGAAAGCGCCGTGGAGTGCAGGAAAGTCRTAAATGTCAGAAGGATGTGGAGCAAAGCAGATTAATCTGGGCTGAGGAAAAAAAGACGCATTTTTTCACTCTGGTAAAACTCAGCTTTGTCACTTTGTGTCGGCATGAAACTAATCCTGACTTCTCTTAACTGTTTAATTTGTGTGTTTCATCATCTTGGTTCAATGAAAATTAAAAAAAGAATTAAAACTTAACGAATTAAAAGCCGAGCCTTGAAGTAATTAATTTAGCCTGTTGCTGTTCACACCAGAGATTTATACCAAGATAATCTTATTTTAAAGTTAACATATCTAAAATACACTTTTTTAGCCATTAAATATATTTGTTGTACTTAGAGTCTGGAGTGCAGAAAAGTTTAATTCAGTTTCTCCTGGAGCTGCGTAGAAATCTTTTTATTCTGTTGGGCTCAAAATTTTCATCATGCTCAGTTTTCTCTATTTTCTGCAATGTTTCCTGAAATATTACATTGCAGTGTTTGGATTTGGAACTCCTAAATAAGGTCTAGACTTACCAACTAAACACTTCTCCTCTGGCTCTGGGTCAGACTGTGGCTCCAACATGTAAGGACAAGTCTTATGGGATAAATCTTGTGCCAGCAGGAATTGAATTTGAATTGCTCAGATTGAATCTGAATATGCGTAATTTGAAACTGGATGCATTTGTTTGAAAATAAATTTCACTAAATTGAAACAGAATTTAATGATTTGAAACTGAATTTAAAGTTTTGTTTCTGAATTTGTTTATTAAAAATTCAGACTACTTTCACTTTCAGTTCCATAATTCAGATTTTTGTGTCACACATCCTGGTCCTTGAGAAAGCCAGGCAGAGTAATCAAACACAGATCCACAGATTTATGTTTCACTTTGGTGAAGTTTCCCTTCTGTAGCAACAGAAGACGCAGCAGAGACGCTGAAGGCCTCCACCTCCTGTTGGAGCAGCTTCACGTCTTCCTCTCTGTCCTGGACTTCCTGCTGGATCTGGTCTCGTCTCACTTGGAGCTCTCTCTGCCTCTCGGCTCTTTGTGCTGCAGCTGAGACCGTGTTCATAGGCGTAGCCAGGATTTTGTGTG